CAGGACTGATGTCCTGGATAAAAGTTTAGACAAAGGACCAGGTTAATTGAGACATGTCTGACCTGATGCAGGGAGTAATCAGGCTTGCAGCACTCCTTCCTGCACTTAAGAGATACTGTTTCCTGGCTACCCACCCAGATGGCCCCTAGCTTGTGACCACAGAGTGTGCTAATTGCTCTACTTCCCTAGCAACAGCTAATCAGAACAGTCCAGGCATTGTTCATGATGAATACCCTCCAGATGGCCAAGCCAGAATCATTTTATGGTCTTGGTGTCTAAAAATAGATCCCCTACCCAAGGCTTGGAGCCCTTGCTTGTGGTATTTCTCTTTAAAAACCTTGTTTCCCTAGACCTTGGGGCCACATTCCTCTCCTGCTGCTCCAGAGAGCTTTGAAACCCAAGCTCGAGCTTGTATTGAATAAACCCTCATGTGTTTTGCAATAGACTGGACTCCTGGTGGTCTTTTGGGGTCTCATGACCTAGGCACAACATTACAGTGGAAATTTTCATCAGCTTTGTTTTAACTTTGATAAAGAAACCTTACATATGATATTCATATATAAAGAACAAGCTCTTTTTAAAGAAACTGATATTGTTACAATGTGCTTACCATATTTGCTAACTTTCATATAAATTGTTGATGGGTTTATTTTGCCTGCTGAATTAGTATCTTACTTTACCACACTTACAGAAAGTGATATGTGGGATCTGGAGATGTAGATCAGTTGGTAGACTGCATGCCACCACACAGACAGCTATAAATTCAGTCCCTCTATAGAAACAGACAAGTGCTACACACCTGTATTCCCAGCTCTCTGGAAGTTGGGATAGGAGAAACAAGAGTTCAGTCAGGCTAACCTGAGCTACATGAGACCCCACCTAAAAATAAAAGAGTAATATTTATTTGGTGTTTCTGTGGAAGGCTTGCATATGTCAAGCTCAGTATTTTGTTATATATTGAATAGAAATGGACTTGTTTCTTCTCATTTTTCTCTCTTTCAATGTATCTCAATTTTATCTTGCCTTTGCTGCTGTGCTCACTGATCTGTCCATTTCTCTACCACTGTGATTGTTACATACTTGCAAAATTTGAAATAAGTGATGCAAAGGACAAGTGGGCTGAAAAAGAAGAAGTTTCAAAGACATATAATTAAAGGGTCACTGGCACACACACATATGTTCCTGTGTACATACTGGCAGCAAGCACATTACTACTTAAAGGTTTACCATTTATTGTCTAAGGCTTTTGTTTAGCTGGTGTTTGTTTTAACTCCTGCTGGTGTTTGTTTTAACTCCTGATTTGAGTCAGAGGCCTTTCAATGGATGCTTAGTACAATATAAGCAAGTCTGTTTCTTTAAATGGTGAGGATAGTTTGATGGGGTGACTCTTCCTATACAAAGGATTGTAGGGGGAAATTCAGCATCACTTGAAAGTAAGCATTAGTGCACTTAGAACAAAAACCTAGCAATGCCTTTAAGGATTGAGAAACTTACTCCATAGACATTATACAAATACCTACCTCTTGGTATTTTCTTTCACATTCCATTGTTTCAATAACATTAAAAAACTAGTGATACTTTGAGGCATAGAAAACCACATTTTTAGTATTCCTTTATCCATATTTTTTTCTGTGATTTTTTCTTTAATTAAAGCTGTTATTGTAAGCCATATAGTCAGAATAGTAAAGTGTTACATTCAAGTTATTCAAAACAAACTTTGAACTTCAAAAAAGTAAGGTTGATAATGCATCTGGGGAGAGAGCTAAGTTGTAAAATACTTACTCTTTTTGCAAGCATGAGGACTTGCATTCAGGTCCCCAGCACCCATGTGAAACGCTGGTGCCTAAGAACATGTCTGTAAATTGGTTCTGGGGAGGTGGAGACAGATGTTTGCCTGGACCTCATTGTAGCTGCAGAAATGAGCACCAGGGTCTGTGAGAGACACTGGGTCAAAATATGAAGTACAGAGCTACTGAAGAAGATACCTAACACTTACTTCTGGACTCACAAGAGTGTGCAAAAACATACATCCATACAAACAAGAACATATATACACAACATATGCACACAAAGCAAGACAGATAAAATGGAAAAATGGCAGTTTGCATCCTTACATTGTGAAAGCATACCCCCAATTAATTAATAAATGAGTCAGTGGTTGGAAGCATCCCAGCCATATTTTATGAGTTTGCTTCTGGAAACCACAGAACTAGAGATAAATCTGAACTGATGAAAGATGGCTAAAAAAAACCAGGCAGAATTTGAAAGCCTCTGCCCTGCAGACTATCAAAACAGATGCTGAGCCTGATGGCCAACTGGCGGGCAAAGTGAATGGAATTTTATGTAAGAAATGGGAAATAGCAAGAGCTGGAGAGGACAGGAACTCCACAAGGAGAGCAACAGAACAAGAAAATTTGAACACAGGGAACTTCCCAAAAACTCATACTCCAACCAAGGACTATTCATGGAGATAACCTAGAACCCCTGCACAAATGCAGCCCATGGCAGTTTAGTGTCCAAGTGGCTTACATAGTGATGGGAAGAGGGACTGCCTCTGACATAAACTGATTGGCCTGATCGTTGATCACCTCCCCCTGAGGGGGGAGCAGCCTTACCAGGCCACAGAAGAAGACAATCCAGCCATTCCTGATGTGATCTGATAGACTAAGATCAAAAGGAAGGAGAGGAGGACCTCCCCTATCAGTGGATGTGGGGAGGTATGGTGGGATCAGGAGGGGAAGAGGGAGGGGCTTATGGGGGGATACAAAATGAATAAAGTGTAATTAATAATAATAATAAAAAAAAGAAACCAGGCAGATTTAACTGGTTAAAATTGATAAAAATAAAGCACTTATCTGAGAAATGAACATTTTATTTTGTAAGTGTCTCAAGGTGCATAAACACATCTTTATTTATCAAATTAAAAGATGTATAAACCACAAAAGTTGGCAGCACTATTATCACAATGCTCTAAATTACCTGTTCATAAGCAGGGTACAGTAGCTCAAGCCTTCAGTCCCAGCACTTAGAAAGCAAGAGCAGGCAGATTTATGTAAGACTTGGAGAGTTCCAAAACAACCAGGGAAACATAGAAGATCCTGTTTCAATAATAATAATAATAATAATAATAATAATAATAATAATAATAATGGCAATAATAATGGCAATAAACCTACCTATGCACAATATGCTTTGATGGCCAGAAGTATTTACTTGTGAGATTTTGTTTAGTTTCCCTGGAGTCTCCAACAGACTGACAGTGCTGAAAATATATCAGTTCTCCTATATTATTGTTAAAAGAAGAAACCAGACAAGGATTTCTGAGGCCTATCCCCAAGCCACCATCCCAGTCCCAGTAGGGGGTAAAACAGGAAGACCACTTGAGAGGGCAAAGAGACTATTTATAGAAGGAAAGAGCAGCAAAGAAATATTGGCAGTGAGGGAGAGCCAATCAACCACCAAACTGGACACGGCCTGCCCAGTTGCCTCGGTGGCAACCCCAGAGCAGCAGGAATCAGTTCTAGGGGTTCCACATGCAGAGTCGGAAACAAGCAGAGAAAAATGGAATGGTTCAGAGGCTAAGTCTAAGTCTGTAATTCCTAATGTTCCTCCTTCTGCATACAGTCGTTTTTGTTAAGACAGACAAAATCAAGTTAGTAAAGAAACAAAGAAGGAAGAAGAGGAAGCAGAGGAGACAAAGTTCACTGCTATCCTATGTGTGAGCCTCTCATGGGACAGGGAGACAGCAGTCCAACATACTCACTGGTAATGAGCCATCTGGAAGACTCAGTTGCTCTTTACGTAGATTTTATATCCATCAGACCTTGTCTGTTAATCTATTCACTAAACATGAGGTTCCCTAACCAGTAAATATAAGAAACATTCTGATTTTCTGGTTTCCATATCCAAAACTAGAGAGGAAGACATTGCATTTCAGTTTTCTAAAAATAAATGAGGTATCCCAGCCCAGTTAGTTACTAGGAATGTACATATAAAGCCAAGGACACCCATCACTATGCTCTGAAACAATCTTCCAGCCTGTACTTATGCTCTGGGCTTGCATGGCAGTGGTCACCAGTAGGCTCCCAGGAGCCATTAATCAATTTTTTTTCACAGAGCTAGTGGGAATTCTGTTTGGGGAGTTGCTAAGCAGTGTTGTCCTATTAGTCTTCAGTTCCTATTTGCTAGGGTTGTGAGCTACCCATTCATTGTTCATGGAGCAAGAACTCTGCCCAGATAACAGCTGCATCAATTCAATCTGATAATGCCTATTGCCAAAGATTTTGCAAGAGGAAAAAAGGAGAAAGCACTATTACTTTGGCTTTGCATTTCCCTTGGCCATGATGATTTTATTTATAAAACTCTAATATAGATTTAAAGATGGTCAAATAATGACCTTATTCTGAAGACTTAATGCCACCAAGTCTACAGGAAAGCTACAAGGAGGCAAATATGGCCTCTGGATGATCCTAACTATGTTCAGCCCAAGATAATACCAGTGCCACCCTAGTCTGCATTTGCTAATAATAGAGCATACTCTTCTGAGTGGCTAGTACTGTTTCTTTGGAATGATATGTGTGTGTGTTTGTTTGTTTGTTTGTTTGTTTGTTTGTTTGTTTGTTTTTATCCTGTGGCTATGCTGAAACACATTGACAAAGACAACTTGAAGGAGAAAGGGCTTATTCTAGCTCACACTTCAATGGTATAGTCCATCTTGGTGGGAAAATCAAGGCAGCAAGCCCTCAAAGCAGCCAGTCATATCACATCTACAGTCAGAAGACAGAGAGTAGTGAGCTTGCTTTCTCCTTTGTGCTCAGTTCAGGAGTCTAAACCCAGATAATGGTGCTACCCTCTGGTTCTTCCCACCTCAATTAATTCACAATAATAATGTCACAAAGGCATGGCTAGCGGGGCTTGTCTCTCAGGTGATTCTACCCCTTAACAATGAACATTTCCATTACCGGTAGTAACAAGTAAAAAACTACAACAAAAATAAAGTATGCCCCTGTCAACGGGCAAAGAGACACTTGTTGGCAGTGGTATTCCTATGTCAGCCGGAGGCAGAACAGGTGGCAGTCCTCTGCTCAGCCTAGCTTGGTGCTTGACTTAGTGGCCAAAGATATTTTATGCCTAGGACACATAAAAATCAAATCAAATCAAATCCAGTCAGGACAGCACATGAGGAGAAAGACAGTGAGAGACCTGCATTCCACCATGCAGGTAATGGTGCTGACAGGGACTCTATAGACCTGCCCCCTGCTCCATGGCATGGGTGGGTCATAGACGTACAGAACCTTGTCTGTAACCACACAGCACAGCAATGGAGGGGGAAGACAGTTGGAGAGCTGCAGACCTCCATGCCACCCACAGACCTGCTCTCCCGCGCATGGTACAGGCTTGCCACCAAGCCACTAATAGAAGATGTCATCCAGGGTCCCACAAGGCATGTGGCCAGCCTGCAGCAGGAGCCATCACAATGAGCAAGTATATGGTGGACAGCTAAGAGAAAAAGAGAATTGGAGCAACTTGAGCATTATGAGGAGAGATGGAACTGGAGACCCGAGGATGGAGAGGAATAGTCTGCTCTGAGTGGCCAGCCCTACAGGTTGGTACCATGGTGAGGTCCCAACCTGAGCTGCCACTGAGGGCCATGTCTGGTTCTGTGGCTACACAGCGGCAAGGGTTGGTGTCAGTATCCTTGGCTCATATTACCACTAGAGAACATGGGGGTGTTTCTGGTCCAGGCAGCCACTGGGGACCACGTAGATGTCCCCAGTGGACTGAGGCACTCTGAAGAGCTGGCCCCACCTCTCACTGATAACAGGGAGAGCAGACTGTGTGCCTTGCCCAGGCTGCCCATTGGAGTTGGCCCTGGCAGTGAGGGTTTAGGTGAGCTTGCCCAGCTCTGTTAGTATGGAAGAACTAACTCTGGCAGTTTAGAAAGCTTCCCACAGGGTCAGAAGCATGACAGAACTAGCCTTACCCCTTACCAACTGCAGCACTTAGAAGAGTGGGCCCTGCATCTTGCCTGGACAGTAAAGGAGAGCTGACCCAGTGGTGGGGGCACAAGTAAACCAGCCCCAAAGGCCAGAGTGAGGGAGAGCTGGCCCCACTCATCTGCTGTGAGGTAGGATAGGTGTCAGGGTGATGCCCTCCCCTACTCACCCCTTGACACTTTCAGCAATCAGGAGAGATGACCCTGGAGTCAAGAGAGAGAGTAAACTGGCTTTTACATCGCCCCTTGCTGGCTGCAGAAATGGCAAGAGTGGGCCCTGCATCTCAGCTGAGCAGCACAATAAAGCTGGCCCTGATGGCAGGGCTGTAGGTGAGCCAGCCTCAAGGGTGAGAGCACAGGAAAGCTAGCGACACCCCCATCTACCATGATGTGGCATGGGTACAAGGATGATGCCCTTGCTCCTCATCCCCTATAGCGGTCTTGAGACATGGCCCTGGGGTCATGAGAGCATGAGAGCTAGCCCTGCCCCGTCACTGGCTGTAGCATGAGGGAGAGTTGGCCCTGTACCTCACCTGGGCAACACAGTGGAGCTGGCTCTGATTTCAAAGACACAGGTGAGCCATTCCTGAGATTGTGAGAGAGCGAGAGAGCTGGTCCAGCCCCTCACAGGCTACAGCACTTGGGAAAGTAGGCCCTGTTTTTAACTGGGCAGCTCAGTGAAGCAGGTTCTGGAGGCTATGGTGTGGGCTTGCTGGCCTGAGGTCATGACAGCAGGAGAGCTGAACCAGCTAGGCGGGGCATTTAATGGCCTAGCTGGAGCAGTCCTGGAGAGCTCATCCTAGTGGTAGAGATAAAGGAAAGCCACTGTACTGATTGGCTCAGCTGCCAGCCAGGCCCAGATCTGGGACTCTGAGTTGGCCCACCCCAAAAAGCTACACACTGTGAAATATTCAGGCTTCCATGATGAAATGTTTTACTATGCTTTGGTGTGTGTGTGTGTGTGTGTGTGTGTGTGTGTGTGTGTGTGTGTGTG